AAGAATAACAAACATATCAATACATGATTCTTACAAACACCAAAAGCATACAACCTAATCGTAAACCGAAGATAATTGTACCAAAACATTGCATTACTCATTTAAATATCTGATCTTATCTTCAACAACTTCCATCACCATAATTATTGCTATTAACAAGCTGAATAACCCAAATGTTAACAAAAAAAACCCTAATACAAACTATTAAGAACCATAAAACCATGGATTCAACCAATCAATCGACAAACATGTAAAACAATAGCATAAGATTATAATACATAAACGCTATCATATACAGATATCAAGTATCTAAGAGCGTACCATTTCTTGAAGCTAGGTGAAATCGACTGTAACGGGATTCTTGAGATCAGAAGCGATAACAGAAACCCTAGTTTTAGTATGAGCCTATAGTATACAAGCTTATATGGATCATAAACGCATCGTTTTGGGCCCGGCCTCGTTACAAGATTTGGGCTCAAAACAATCTAAATACTATCCTTAAGTCTCATCCCATATTACAAGGCCCAGTTTTATGACAAATTATTTTCTATTTGAATATTAACATTAAGAATTAGATTTTAGTGGGGAAAAAAAAGGTAAAAAACGTAAGCATGGATTTTCACAGTTGAATCAATCATAAATGAATGTCAACATTAATGAGGTACATAAAGATGCACCAAATTAATTTTCTTCTAAAGCGTAATTCATGGACATGCATGAGATTAAAAGTGATCAACGGTTCAGATATCTTTTTACGCATCTCACTATAACTTCCCTTCTCAGACGATCCTTCCCCAAACAGTAATTATATTATTAAAGTATGACGAAGGATCATGAGAGAATAGAAGTTAAAGTGAGAAACGTAAGAAATGATCTAGACATTTGATCACTTTTAATCTCACCCACCTCCCATGAATTGCGTTTATCATAGAAATTGATACAGTTGCATCTCGGTGGACCGCACTAGTGTTGATCATCAATTAGGATTAATCCAATGGTGGAAATTCATTCTTACCCTTCTCACCGGAACCCAACCCTTAAAGTATTTCATATATTTAATAAAATATTATTTTATTTGTTAAACATTTAATTTCAAGGTTTATTATCGGCAAGAATATAATAACTATTATTCATCTCTCATGATGATCATTTACAAAGAGTTCTCCATTTCACACCTACTCTTTTCAATTATCTTTTTTTTTTGCATTTTAGATAATATGTTGAATATGTTGTAATTTATACATTGCAAATGGGATCTTAAGCAAAGTTTTAATGCTATAAAATATGCCTGTGCTTGAATCATTTGTTTTGCTTTGATGAAATGTTGGATATCTTCTATTTAAATTGTGACCTACAAACAGGGCTGTAAACGAACCGAACGTTCAGCAAACTGTTCGTGAATCATTCGGTGGGAAGTTCGTTTATTTAATAAATTAAAGAACTTGAACATATTTTTTTTGTTCGTTTAGTTAAACGAAGAACATGAACAAAAGTCTCGTTCGTTCATTTATGTTTGTGAACGTTCGTTTATTTACCATTCATTTACATTCGTTTATATATTAAATTTAATATATAATCTTTTATTTATTTACTTTAAATTCAAATAATATCCGTTTATGTTCGTTTAGCATGTTAACAATCTGTTGGGCAGTTGTTTCTGCACAGCCTTCACCGCGCCAACTCTGGCAGCATTGGACGATCTGTTGGCGGCTGCCACCGCCTTGTTCACCCTCTCGTCCACTTTGGCTAAATC